TTCCTATATGGTTTGATTTGCCATTAGCGACCCTTGAGCTTTTTTTTTTAATGGAGGTAAGACTGGGCACAAACATTTCAAATAAATTAATTAAATAAGCCATCCCATGGTGCTTCTGTGATATTATTATTGTCATCGTCATCACCTATCAATTTATGTACCACTTACATTCCCAAATGACCTCTAAGTGATTTACATGAATGAAATCAGTTGCAATATATCGACACATAATTAAAACGTGCAATAAAAGAACTCCATCAAAACATTGGAAACATCCGTGAATAAAATAATTAAAGAAGCCCATTAAAAGGCATAACAGTGAAAACAGTTAAAAAGATAAATTGAAAACAAGAAGATCAGAAAATTCAAGTCGAGGGGAATGCTTGTCTAAGCCGGTTGAATGCCAATACTGATGGGGCCTTTCATATTTCCGCAGGAAAAACAAGGCTATATTGCAGGGATGAGAAAGCTGCGAACTACAACCTTCATGATTTCTGCCAGTTGGCCATGCTAGCTGGGGCTAATGGGAGCTGGAGCCCATCAAGATATGGAGGGTTACAGGGTCCTCACCCTGATATATTTTAACCCACTTGGACCCATATGCCCGTGTGGTGTAGTGGTTAAGAGCAGTGGACTCGTAATCTGGTGAACCGGGTTCGCTTCCCCGCTCCTCCACACGCAGCTGCTGGGTGACCTTGGGCTAGTCACAGTTCTCTGAATTCTCTCAGCCTCACTCACCTCACAGAGTGTTTGTTATGGGGGAGGAAGGGAAAGGAGAATGTTAGCCGCTTTGAGACTCCTTCGGGTAGTGATAAAGCGGGATATCAAATCCAAACTCTTCATCTCTTCTTAGAGCAAGGCAGTAAAAGTAGTTTAAAGTGCAAACTGCTGTGCACACACTCAATGCAGACGCCTTCTTTTCTCCCACCATCTTGGCACTGAGATGCTGTAACAGCAACGGAAGGGAAAAAAGAAAGGAAGCGGAAAGAAAAATGACAGGCAACTGAAAGCTGTAAAATGTCAACCTGATGGAGAGATTTGGAGAGTGAAATTCGAAAGGAAACAGATCAGAGTTACAAGGGAGAAGCAGCCCAAATGGAAGCAGCCCAAATGGCATCCTATTAAAAATTGGGGGGGAGGGGGGGAATGCCTGGGAAGAAGGTACCCACTTGCAACAAAGCATCTCTAGAGTGGTCCTAAATGGTGTGCCCTTGGAAATCCAGGGCTACCCAGTTTAACCATGAATATATAGCACACCTTAAGAAAAGAAAGGGATGCGGGTGGCGCTGTGGGTTAAACCACAGAGCCTAGGACTTGCTGATCAGAAGGTCGGCGGTTCGAATCCCCACGACGGGGTGAGCTCCTGTTGTTCAGTCCCTGCTCCTGCCCACCTAGCAGTTCGAAAGCACAACGTGCAAGTAGATAAATAGGTACCGCTCCGGCAGGAAGGTAAACGGCGTTTCCGTGCGCTGCTCTGGTTTGCTAGAAGCGGCTTAGTCATGCTGGCCACATGACCCGGAAGCTGGACACCGGCTCCCTCGGCCAATAAAGCAAGATGAGTGCCGCAACCCCAGAGTCGGCCACGAATGGACCTAATGGTCAGGGGTCCCTTTACCTTTACTAAGAAAAGAAAGGGCTGTAGGTACGCAGAGTTATTCTTTTTTAAAAGTTCTGCACGCAGAAAAGCTGGATCCTGCCGTTTTAGTAGGCTGTGAACATTAGCCCAAAGTGTGCACAATTCTTCTTTCTTTGCATACATTTCCTCTGCATTTATTTTTTACTACTGCACAATGTATAATATACTCTGGTCCTGCAATCAGGAGTGGAAGGGGAACTGGACACTGCAGCCCTGTTCCCAACCAACTACTGGAAATCCCTACTTCTCTTTGACTTCTAAGAATTCAACCAGCACACTTTCAAGCGTAATCTTCACAGCCATAAAAGACTGGAAACTCTGATAAAAAATTAAACCAGAGATTCTCAGGAAGCTGAATTCTCCAGTACTCTATTCTGCTTGCTTGCTCGCTCTACACTTATTTACAGTGGTGCCCCGCAAGACGAATGCCTCGCAAGACGAAAACCCCGCTAGACAAAAGGGTTTTCCGTTTCTCAATGCGCTTCGCAAGACGAATTTCCCTATGGGCTTGCTTCGCAAGACGAAAACGTCTTGCGAGTCTTGCGATTTTTTTCGCTTCCCCCCTATTTTCTAAGCCGCTAAGCCGCTAATAGCCTTTTAGCCGCTCACCCTTTAATAGCCGCTAAACCGCTAATAGCGCTAATCCGCTAATAGGGTTGCTTCGCAAGACGAAAAAACCGCTAGACGAAGAGACTCGCGGAACGGATTATTTTCGTCTTGCGAGGCACCACTGTATATTCCAAGGTAGGGACCGATTTCCCTCTCTCCCTATAGTTCTTTCAAAGGGGTGAGGGACACAGCTGTTGCGAGAAGAAGACGGTACAGTGGTACCTCAGGTTAAGAACTTAATTCGTTCTGGAGGTCCGTTCTTCACCTGAAACTGTTCTTAACCTGAGGTACCATTTTAGCTAATGGGGCCTCCCGCTGCCGCCACACGATTTCTGTTCTCATCCTGAATCAAAGTTCTTAACCCGAGGTACTATTACTGGGTTAGCGGAGTCTGTAACCTGAAGTGTCTGTAACCCAAGGTACCACTGTATAGTTGAGGGAAGCACAACGCCATTTTGAGTGCAAAGCCAACGTTAGCTCGGAAACTGGAAATGGGGCAGGGGGGAGAGAAATGCCAGCCTGCCGAAGAAGAAGAAGGGAAAACAGGCCAGTCCTCGGAGGATTCCCAATCATGGTTAGGTGAATAGACAACATCACATCTGCACCGGGAGCCTGTGACAATGGATTGTTAGCACCCAAACTGACTTGGCGTTCCTGCTTGGGTCCTTGAACAGGTGTGAGCCCCATCTTCTCCACTAATCACAGGATGAAGCAACTTGATGCATAGAGTCAAGGCTCATGGTCCCTCCGGTAAAGGAATAAAAAGGAGAGGGGAAATCGTAAAGGCCTGCACATAATTCTTTTTTTTCCTTTCTCCTCCTGTGATGGCTTTTTTCTGGCCCACGTAGGACCAGTCTGGATAGTTAGCCTTGGTGAAGACTTAACATTTTCATTCACAAAAAAGTTTTTGATTTGAGTTTCTACTGAAATGAGCCTGCATTTTAATGTTGTATTTTAATCTTGTTTTTTAAGTTGTATTTCAATCAATTGTTTTTATACCTGGTGTTAACCGCCCTGAGCCCGGGCTTGGCTGGGGAGGGCAGGGTATTAATTATAATATTATTATTATTATTATTTTATTTTATTTATGCCCCGCTCTCCCCAGCCAAGACCGGGCTCATGCTGCTCCCGAAGCAACCAAGAGAAAGAGGGCATCCCCACTCCTTTAGCACATGATTAGCAGCCCAGTGGTATGTGGACACCATTACCCTCATGCGAGAACATTTGTCATAGGTCAAAATGCCACCATATATTTTTTGCTGTGTCTCCAACACAGAACACTGCTTTCCAACGGAGGTTGTTTGCATACACATGGATGAGAGCCAAATTATTTTGTCTCCGGATATCTGCATGGAAAACAGCCCTTGATTTACTCCTATGTAAGCAGGTGTAACATCACAGCCCAAGTGACCCAAGGGGGTTTCAGTCCTCCCTCCCTCAGACCATCTGATCCCCCTAATCGCTCTGCTAACCTTCCTCCATTCCCTTACAAGAGTTGTTTTAGAATTCATACCGTGGGCACACCAAGAGTTTTACTTAATTTGTTCCCACAAAGGCTAAGAGAATCTGACAATTAATAAGAGTTAGAAACAGGTTTTCTTACACTCATAATGAGTCCTCGTGTCTTTCATTATGATCCACATGCTTATATTAATTTTCAGCGATTATTTGCCATATCAGATGCTATCAGGCTCCTTATTGTTCTTCTTCTGAATACAGGATTTTGATGGCCACCATCTCCCTGCCCCACTCAGGCCATTCCCAAAGTAGTAAACTGAAAATGAAAATGCATTATTCCCCTTTTAAGGGGAATCCAAATAAATGGCACCACCCAAAACAAATCCTATAATTATATTTCCCCACTTGGATTAGGCAAATTGATATTATTATTATTATTATTATTATTATTATTAAGACCTCATCCACCAGCACCCCGTATAACACTGTATGGCAAAACAAAGACACAAAGAAACAGCATCGCATATGGGCTGCCTCTGTGGAAAGAAAGCAAAGCATTTTTTGCCTTCTGAAGTGCAAAATCCCTGCTGCAAAACCCAGAACTGTTCTCTCCTTCATCTGCAAATAATGAGTTTGATTTGCAGAGGCAGGCTCCGATTTGGCACCTGCAGAAGATATCGGGTGCAATTTTGGATGGCGCACTTTGCAACAGCTAAACATCAAATTCCTCAGCTGCACCTGTAAATCAGGTACTGTTATTAAATGTGGATGCAGTTATCTGTGGGTTTTTAAAAAAATTGTTTAAAAAAGCCAAAAGCCAAAGAGAAGCCGTTCTCTGGGTGGGGGGTGGGGGTGGGAGCTGAGGCCTCCAGGTGCACTTATTGCATCTTTCTGAATGCCCTATTGCCCAGGTAAGGTCATTTGTATTCCAAGTGAGAGGACATCATATGTTATTGAGTTTTGTCAGAATCACAGAATTGTAGAGGTGGAAGGGCCCACGGGGATTGTCTAGTCCAGGGGTCAGCAAACTTTTTCAGCAGGGGGCTGGTCCACTGTCTCTCAGACCTTGTTGGGGGCCAGACTATATTGGGGGGGGGGGATGAACGAATTCCTATGCCCCACAAATATCCCAGAAATGCATTTTAAATAAAAGGACACATTCTACTCATCTAAAAGCACGCTGATTCCCAGACCGTCCGCGGGCCGGATTTAGAAGGCGATTGGGCCGGATCCAGCCCCCGGGCCTTAGTTTGCCTACCCATGGTCTAGTCCAACCTCCTGCAATGCAGGCATCATCTGCCCCACAAGGGGCTCGAACCCATGGACTTAAGATTAAGAGTCTCATGCTCTACCAACTGAGCCATCTCAGTCCGCTAAAGAGAGGCTGCAGTGACCTGCTTGGCCTCTTCTCCACGCTTAGCATCGGCACAATAGCATTCTCTTAGACCAGGCATAGGCAAACTCGGCCCTACAGATGTTTTGGGACTACAATTCCCAACATCTCTGACCACTGTTCCTATTAGCTAGGGATGATGGGAGTTGTAGTCCCAAACACATCTGGAGGGTCAGGTTTGCCTGCGCCTGGCTTAGACCTACATAACTTCTACAAGGTTGAGGTATCATCTGTCTCCATCAAGCAAAAGCTTATCTTGATTTATGTGCCCAATTCCACTTTACAGAAAGTACTGGAATTCAGGTTTCCTTGGCGCTGAATCTGGGATATTTGGTGCCCCACTTTTTTTTTTAAAGAGACAGGCAGAGAATAATCGTAACACACCCCACACCGACATTCTCAGAAGTCACAAGCATGTTGCTTTAAATTACATGGAATGGAGATAAGCAAATCTATACCCCCCCACACACATGGACAGAACACGGTCCAACCTCCATTCCTGCAGCCAGAAAGTATTTGTGTTTACTTTGAAGCCTCCCCTAATTTCCAGTAAGATTTACTGCTTAACAAGCATATTTACGCAGGCAGCAACAAATCCACTTGCTAAGGGAGTGTTCCCCTGGTTTGGATAAGATTAGAAGAAATGCAAGATATCCCTGTAAGTTTCTTATCTTCCCAAGTTCTGCAGGACAGGCAAAGCCTTCTCTCACTCACACCAAAGTTTGGAGAAAGCAAATCTCTTTCCTGTTTCCAACCTTTCGCAGCACCCCAGCGCAAGTGAGATCAAATCCTTCGTCTCCCCTAAAGCTCAAAGACACAGGGACCAGTTGATGGGGAGAGCAAAACTACAGGCTGGTTTGTAAGCAGAGACAGTATTAGGAGACCTCTGTTGTTTAGGATTGCAGCCCAAGAATGAGAGCCGCAACCTGATGCACGCTTACCTGTGTAAACCCCACAGAACTCAATGCAGCTTATTTACAGGTAAACATGAACAGGCTTGCACCGAACATCTGCATACAACGGACCATCAGGCTCAGCCACCTATCAAAATAAAAGGTCTCCTGATCTAAAACGTGCGCAATATTTCTGAATGACTTTAGATTGTATCTCAAAAAAAAGAACGTAGGCCATTGATTTGTGTCCACATTCCAATGACCAACTGCAATTTAATGGGAGGAGCTGGGAGAGGAAACTGAAGACTCATTCTAAGCAGAGCAAGTTATGCAGCCGGCAAGAGGGAAGGTTATCAGCGGCAGACATCAATGCTCAACACATACACATTCCAGGAACTCAAATGGGTTTTTAATTGGGTGCAAGCATACAATGGGAACCTGCATATGATCGTGGTTTTTAGTGAACTCTGTGTCAAAAGGCACAAATCCAAGCATATAATTATAACCCGTTACAATTATGTAGGGGAAATGAAAAAAAAGAAAAAGAGAAAGATACAATCCAATCTGGAAGCCTGCTCAATTGACATTCTTAACACACTCAATACTTTTGTTTCATAGCCAGCTAATCAGCCAAATCAGGGCTAATTCTGTTCCATTCAATTGAACAGAAAGTATGAGACAAACAAGTAAACAAACAGGAAATTTGCTTACGGAAGAGTTTTTAAGCCGTTATGTGTTACCGATACTGTTCAAAAGGACAGAGGGGCGGGGTGAGGGGGAATAGGAGAGAAAAGGAAACTTGCTTGAACAAGCGAATTCAGCCCTGCATAGATTATTATTAGCTGCCTTACAAGACTGATTTTATCAGTCGCGCACGGCAATTCCTCTTATCAGCTTAGAGGGGAAAGTGGTCTTTGCAACAGACTCGGCCAGACCAATGGGGTTCAAAGAACAAGAAACAAGATTTGGGAAGGACTGCTGCAAAATCTCTTTTTTATAGAGATTTTGAGCAGCGGCTGGATGGCCCACTTACGGGGGATGCTGTTGTAGTGGACTTCCTGCTATCAGAAGAGGACTCAACTAGATTGCCTGTGAGGTCCTTTCAAAGTCTAAAAAATTCTAATAATTGAAAAGTCCTGAGGTAGGACTTTTAAAAAAAGGTGCATGTTGATACGTCACCTGAGGCTTTTACAGCACTGCAGAAGCTGACAAGATCAATCTCATGCACACACACACACAGAAATTTTAGGTATCAACAATGGCAGGTGTGTGCAAAGCATCATCTTCCCATCAAGAAAGAACATTTATTGCTTGTTAAATTATTAGATTTATATACAGGCCTTTATCCAAAGATCCCAGGGCGGTGTACAACATTAAGAACGTATCTTTAATGGTAAAGGGACCCCTGATCATTAGGTCCAGTCGTGACTGACTCTGGGGTTGCGGCACTCATGTTGCTTTACCGGCCGAGGGAGCTGATGTACAGCTTCTGGGTCATGTGGCAGCGCACGGAAACGCCGTTTACCTTCCCGCCAGAGCGGTACCTATTTATCTACTTGCAATTTGAGGTGCTTTCGAAATGCTAGGTTGGCAGGAGCTGGGACCGAGCAACAGGAGCTCACTCTGTTGCAGGGATTCGAACCGCCGACCTTCTGATCGGCAAGTCCTAGGCTCTGTGGTTTAACCCACAGCGCCACCCGTGTCCCTTTCAAGAACATATCTTTAAGGAACATTTAAAAAAAAGTAACACAAAGCATAATAATGGACAGTTTAATGATGAAATGATCTTACTAACAGTCCGTCTGCCCAAACCAGCTGAAATTTGCACCTGGCTATCAGCCACTTGCATCCAAGTAAAGATGCCCAAACGCCAGGATGTCACCCAATGTCTCCACCATCTGGAGGTGGATGCCTGGGGATCCTTGGATCTTGCCTCTTTTCATACACTAACACCCCATTTGGCAGAATTCTATCCATGGCATTTTATCTGCACAATCAGAACGAATTTTAGGAACCAAAAAGCCATGTTGAAAAATACGAGCTTTGAGCCGCCTGGCTCAACTAGACATTCCTTTTTGGAAACTGTACACTGTAGGTGTGCACACACATTTAACAGGCCATTGCTTAATAGCCAAAGGCCTGGGTAAAGAGGATTTAACGTATTTTTCGCTCTATAAGACACACTTTTCCCCCTCCAAAAATTAAGGGGAAATGTGTGTGCGCCCTATGGAGCGAATGCAGGCTCCATGGCTTCAGCGAAAGCAACGCGAAGCCTGGAGAGTGAGAGGGGTCGGTGCGCACCGATCCCTCTTGCTCTCCTGGCTTTGCTTTGCTGGAGATGCGCTGCGCAGCTTTCCCTCTCTGCGCAGCGCCCCTTCAGCGAAGCGGGAGGAGAAATGGAAGGGGCTCCGTTTCTCCTGCCGCTTCGCTGAAGGGGCGCTCCGCAGAGAGGGAGAGATTTTTTTCTTCCCCTTGTTCTCGCCCTCTAAAACTAGGTGCGTCTTATGGTCGGGTGCGTCCTATAGAGCGAAAAATACGGTTTTTATTTTTGCCCGACACCTAAAGACATGCAATGATGGTGCAACCAAAGAAAACGCAACCATTTTTACAAGTATTACACACTAGTTCCAGAAGAAAGGTGCTGCCAAGGATGAGCACCGTGAGTCAGAGCCTAATCTCTAAAGTTCTTCCCAATTTCACGGCAAACTATAGAAGGTGTGGCATTTAGAAGAATTCTTGTGACACAGCAGGCCTTCTGCCACTGAGCTCCCATTACGACCTCCACAGCTTCAACAAGTAATAATAATAATAATTTATTATTTATACCCCGCCCATCTGGCAGGGCTTCCTCAGCCACCCTGGGCGGCTTCCAACAAAATATTAAAATACCGTAATACATCAATACAACAAGCAAAGAGGGATTGCTACAACAGAAAAATAAGAGCAACTTTGGTCTCTAAAAAGATTGCCTGAACATCAGAGTTATAAGCCAAGCGAGATACAATGAGGGGAGGTGAACAGGAGTTAAGACGTGATATAATTAAATATCCAAAATGCCTGCTCCGTATGTTATCCCTGGTTTATTTTACAACCATTTTAAAATGCCTTTTTGAAGGAGGAAGGAAAGAAAGGGGCATCTTCACCTGTTCAAAAGAAAAGTGGGAGGGGGCAGCTTGCTACAAGCCTATTTACGCTCAATGTGATTTTTTTTCCTCCTGAATCGTATTATCCACAGCCAGGTAGAGCCTTTTATTGGATCAAGGTCTCTTTGCAAAACAGGAATTTCTTCCCGTGTATTTCTCTGCCTCTCTCTCTCTCTCTCTGCGCACGAAACATGTCAAATCTTGCTCGGCCAGCCACATCCTCTGCCTTGAATTCCTCCATCAAGAGAAGCCTGCTTTCATGACTCCACACTGGAATTCCTACCCACCCTGCTTTGAACCGTAAGGTCTACTGGACATTATGGGAAATGGCAAGGCTTAATAAAGAACAATTTGCTGGCGAACTGAGAAGAGAGAACAGCACCCAGGAATAGCAGCAACAAAGAGGCACATTGATATCAGGACCTTATAAAACTATGTTTTACATAGACACAGGCTCCTCCTATGTTCCTATGCAAATTTTCAAGAGGCAACGAAGTTCCTCATCAGATAAAGATCCATGAAACCCTATACCTAGCACACTCCTCAGTTGGTGCAAAGAAATGTTTTATCTACAATTTTAGTAGAAATGTGCTCATAGCAGGTTAGGCGGTTTTCCCAGCTATCACAATATTATTTGTTCCGACTGGCAGTAGGATCCCTCCAGTCTTTCCTGTCACCTGAACCTTTTGGCTGGAAGCCAAGGGACTGAACCCAAGACCCTCTCTGCAAACAGAGACACACAATACTACAGAGCTGATGTGTTAAAGTCAACTAACATTCACACTAGGCTGGTTCTAATTGGCACCCCTGTACGCATGGAAAGATGCAAATCTAGCAGAAACGCCCACTTGAGGGGATGTGAGTTCGACCAGTTTCCCCTTACCCCTGAAATCCACTCACCTCCTATCCCTGCTATAGACCCTCAAGTCTCTGGAACTGATTTGGCGGGGCATTACGAACTGAAGGTGGCAAAAAAAAGGGAACTGGAAGAATTGCTTCAACTCCGCTAAATCACAATGCCCTTCTATGATTGCAAAGTACCATCTGGTTCCCCCCTACCCCCAGTTAGCCTGGAAGGATAACTTTATTTTTTGAGAGAATGGTTTTTCTTTTCCCTAAGACGTTATGCATTCATAGGCAGGCAACACATAACTTAAGGTTATGCTCATTAATCCTTGTGATGTGAAGTAATCTACAGCTGATGCAACTGATAGCTCCTGCATTGCCACACATAGAAACAGTTACGGGCTATGGACAAAACATGCACACACACAGACAATAAGTAGTCTGTTTAGCAATACAGAAAATGCTGCTTTAACTACATAGATAAACATGCAGCTATTAATCACTTATTATTACAGAGACGGCTGCCTACCTACCTGCACTGACAACTCCTTGGGTATTCCTGGTAAAGCTGCTAAGCAGATAATGAACAGAGAAAACCCTCAGGAAGTCAGATTTCAGCTCGCCGTCAAACACCCATCCATTAAGTTAAGTAAATGCTTGATGCTATTTATCTTAAAACAGCGCATTGGCTCAAAATAGACTTGCCGGCCCAATTCATAAGTGGCAAGGAAGACGCCGGTTCTCTGCAGCTGAATCCCACGCAGTTGAAAGCAACATCTGAGTCAAAGGGTACCTGGTCGCAAGTGTTGCTCCACCCTCAACGTGCAAGCGAATGACCCTGGTGCAAGGAATTCCCACGTGAAAACAATTCAGCCTAAACATTAGCAACACTCTTCCGCCATCAGTCTGGTCTCAGGAACACTGGGTCCTTTTTAACCTGCTCTGCCTCACCTGCAGCAAACTCCTGGGTCCCTATTATAATCAGTAATTGCTCTAGGGATGCCAACAGAATGTCAGCAAAAAAGGGGAATATTTTTACATTTACACATTAACACCGCATGGCCTCAACCTAAAGGACAGTACCAACATCACTTTCCTTCCGCAATTAAAGACCTTTTGAGCCCTCTATCTGCAAGTTCTAAACCTGCCACCTTGGAAACAGCACAATTTTCTCCCGATGAAGGCAAAACCAAAGCCTTTTGCTATAAGAATTAAAAAATTCTGTTTTGCTACTCACTGTTATGAATATATGGTTTTAGTGATTAACCGCATCGAACTAGGATCCAGAACAAAGTGTTGTTTGATGCTTTCATTATTGCGTCTTATAACGTAATATATCTAATAAACATTATATTACAGTATTTAGTCGGCCAAAGCAGCTGCACCCATTGATTTCAGCTGCCATGCCGAAGAACTGACGACCCTTCATTGCTTTTTGATTTGCCGATTAAGAACCTGACCCTCAATTACTCCTGTTTTCTGACATTTTGCCATTCAAAAGAGGATCCTCATCGCCAAACCATTTCCTCGCCAGCAATCACTTCCACTCAGTGGGGGCATCCAAGAATAAACAAGGCAACTATGGGGTGTAGCACTCATTAGGCCGAGGGGGCCGGCATTTGTCCACAGACAGCTTTCCAGGCCATCTGGCCAGCAGGACTAAACCGCATCTGGCGCAATGGGACACAATGACGGAAACCAGAGTGCATGGAAACACCTTTTACCTTCCCACCGCAGCAGGACCTATTTATCTCCTTGCGCTGGTGTGCTTTCAAACTGCTAGGTTGACAGAAGCTGGGACAGAGCAATGGGAGCTCACCACCATCGCAAGATGAGTGTCACACCCCATAGTCGCCTTTGGCTGGGCTTAACCGTCCAGGGGTCCTTTATCTTTTTCAAATTATCAAGAATAAGCATTTTTGAGTTTTGCAGAATCAGTTCCACAGGTGCCATGAGAAGTTGTATGTTCACACAATCGTGAAACACCTAGTGTACAGGGCAAAGAAGACATGGACCACTAATATGCACACATACAGAGTAATACACACTCTTCCTCTTTTAAACGGAGTGGACAGTCCACCTTGCAGCTTCATGGACCATTGGCATAGGAAATTGGGCTCAGTGGACATGTGCCAAGGACTCTGCATCTTCCAGACCCAATTCCTTCCCCTCCCAGTTCAAAAAGCAGCAGACCATTTGCTTCTCTTCAGCCTAAAAAATAAAAAATAAAAAAGCAAGACACAACACCTAAGCCCATATTACAAAGCACACTACCCAAGCATTTATATGATTCAGAATTAATGGCACTAAAAACAAACCTAAAGAAGCGATAGAGAGGCATATGTATTAACATAATGTATATTAGATACATACGCACAGAGAGTGCAAGTCGCTCCTTAAATCCCGTTTGCGAGTATTCTAATCAAGATAATGCAATTCATTTTAGTCGGCATCAGCTTTATCTGCTGAGATGCATAACTTTGATGAAAATTAATTAGTTCAGTGCTGCAGATGGATTTCTTAATAGAACTTGGGAAGACTGAGCCAAAACATGTCAAACACTCACTAAGCATATTGCAAAAATGTTGGGGACTTATTAGGACAGATTTGGGGATGGTGGAAGAGACATGGGGAAAAAGTGGGGTGCTGGACAGTTCTCTCGGCAGAATTTGCTAGTTAAACAGATTTTGCAAAAGATTATAATTTATAGCCTGATCCTTTCCAGGTTTATTAAAAACAAACAAAAAACAATTACCTGCACAGAGTCCAATTTCAGTGGGGTTTAACCCCAAGGAGACACAATCAAGATTGCAGACTTAGGGTACAAGCCTACTCCCATTTACCAGAGAAGAAGACCTATGGAACGTAATGGAGATTTCCTTCTGCGTAAACCAGGCGCAGAGGATTGTTCATTGAAGTCACAATCCTGCACACACTTTCCTGAGAGTTAAGAAACATTTAATCCCAGGGGGCTTGCACAGAGTAGACATGCCCAGGATTGCAATCTCACTCTGCTAACACAACACAATAACCCTTTTTTTAAGAAGGGAAAAGGAGAAGTGAATCTAATTGTGAAGTTTACACTTGCTTTTCCTTGTTCAGCCACTCAGTGTCTGCCTTGCCAGGATCAATATTGCCAGGCCAACAGGTCACCTGCAGAGTACCTGCAGTCCTGTCCATCACAGAAAACGAGGAAAGGTAAATTCCTCTGCAAATTCAATATCAAACACAAGGTGAAACTAGGAGGCACAGGAACCGTGGCCTCACCCAACTGCGTTGAGGCAAGGTAACCCATTCCTCAGGTAGAGAATGGTGCATCTTCAACTTATAAAGCACAAGCCAAAAAGAACTAAGAATTGCTGGACTGGATGCCCAAATCATTTAGCACTCCACTCACAACAGCAAGATTTGTGTGGAATCTTAGGGCAGATGTAATGGCTCTCCTGCTGAATAGCACAGTTGGTAAGAGCAGGAGACTCTCAATCTCAGGGCTCTGGGCTTGAGCCCCACATGGGGCAAAATATTCCTGCATAGCAGTGATGACCCTCAAAAACCCAAGCTCTGCAATTCTATGATCTCTGGCCCCTGGTATACATTGCCTCTGCCCACAGAGGTTCCATGCAGCTGTTTGCAAGCCCTAAGAAACCAGCCATGAAGAGGCTAATGCACCAGGAATTCATGTGTTCTTTCCAAAAAGCTCTCAACATTTAGATCAAGGGATAGGAGGACAGATGTTTCTGGACTCCGAATCCTAACACCCCCAGGCGACATGGCCAATGGCCTTGGGAGTTGCGGTCCAAGAACATCTGTAGGGTCAGAGGCTCTTATTCTCCAGCCGAAATCGAAGGCAAGGATTTTTTGAGGCAATTTCGGGAAACTCTTTGGAACTGTCACATTCTCTCTCGGAAGAAAGCCGCCTCCTTCTCCCCCTCAAGGTAAAGAGAGTTAACAGAGGACAATCTCCTACAACTATCACATGTATGAGAATAGATATAATGTGCTTATAAAGAGATACCGCCAGGATTCTGAAAGTCATGCTTCCCCCAGGATGTGGCCTTGTCAGATTTCATAAACTATATGTGCAGAGCCAAGCATGGACGGGACTTGAATAGTGGGGGGGGGAGGGGGAGCGAGACACAGTGTTCTGCACAGTAATGGCAAAATTCTATAAATCCACACTGAATCTGTGCCTTGGAGTGATTTCTAAGGGTGCCAACAGATGCTCACACAGGTGCCGCCTTTCCAAAGTAAACGTTATTTATGGCATTTTGCAAAAGTAATCGCAGCCACCTTTTCTAAAATACCGCGAGTCAACATCCCTTGCCTGCCTTTAAAAAAACCCACAGAGGACCCTGCTCTACCACAGACAAAGCTGGGCATTTTTTGGTGCCTAAAACAAGGAAATGGAACCCTAACATCTTCTCCCAGGGGGAAATGACAGCACAAAGTCCTGCACTGACATTCCCGGTTGCTGGGACTTGTGGCATCCCTTAGTCAAGGGACCGAGACCTCCAAGAGCCGACCCTTTTAAGCAGAGTGTGCTTCTAAACATAAATGAACCAAAGGGAGCTTAACAACATACCCAAACCGGTAGGACTTAAAGGAATGGAAGCGTTAGACTAAGCTCAGATGGCAACATCAGAGTGGTAGATCATATTCCAAACAAAGAAATTCCTGAAAGCCTACAGGCATTGAAACCTCATTCTCTCAATCGCTCACCTCCTTCAAGAGACCCATTTACCCTGCACACTCACCCAAATATGCAAGGAAGAAGATCTTGAGTTATGCGCGAGCTGCAAAGGTTTGCAAATATGCGGGCATCACCAGGATGATATTCCCATGAACTCTAAATGCACATTATGCACAAAGCCAACGGAATTGGCCCTCGTGGAGGAATCAGGTGCACTGCCAGTACAGATGTTCCTTATTTGGCTGCTCTTGCAGGAGCCAGTAATGTTCATTATTCTAGTCCTAATCAAGCTTTCAAACTTTTCCATTTATGACTTACAAATTGACAATGGTTGCAGTCTTCCAACTTGTATCGCTGATTTTACGAGTCTCCCTAACCATCCCTGACACAACCTGATTTTGGACCAACGTCTAAATAAAAGGAGTAAGCCTCCGCATTTGTTTCTCACATGGAAATCAAGCTGCTTTTACTTAGGGATCTCAGCTCTGCAAGCACAAACGTGGTCAGCATTTAAAGTTAACTAATGAGTTTCGAACAAGCTCATTATCACTACAACCCTACAGTGGCCATTTCTGCAAAGCTGTTGTCTCAACAGCATCTACATGCAAAAAGTTACATGCACAACTTGCAAGTTATACTGGAGAAGAGACACTAGGAATAGGAGCTTGGATGCAGAAGTAGCTCAGTTTACACCTGCTATTATTGACGCACCTGGGTAAGTGTATGAACTGCAATGAGCCTCTCTCTAGGTCTGGAGAAAGGGTTCTGTACAACTCAAAAGCTTGTAAATCTACTCTACTACTTGAGGAACCAACAGAAGGTACCACCCATATTACTCTGCAATTTATATTTCTTATCTTGATTGGTATTCATCCCATGGAGTTAAACGTATCAAAAGTAGGAGGAGGGGAAAGACATGGAACAGAAAAACCACAGGAAACAAACCACAGGAAACATTTACACCGCTGGAAACAGCTGTCAACATGGAAATATGCAAAAGGTTTTGGAGCTGGACACACCTCAACGTTCCCTGGTTTCACAGCTGTTTTGTGCAAGAAAAATAAAGGTGAAGGCTGAGCATCCATCCAGCACATAAATTAACCGAATCAGTTCTGCAGCTTCATACCAAACTCATTGCCATCTAAATAAATGTTCACACCCACGCGTTTTAGCAAGTCATCAGATTTCTCTGAACTTTGTTCTAGGCATTATCCATCAAGGTTAAAAAGAAATCGACACTACGCAGAAAGAAGCCTTTTGTGAGAGCAGAACTATAAGGAAGCTAAGCTACAAAGAACTTTGCTCAATTTCTACCCAGGATGGGTCACAGCTGACTAGGACACCACAGGTCACTCCACCTTCAGCTGCAGCTGAACCAAGGAAGCTTACAAGACGAAGCTGTGACCTGGCACACTTTTACCTCAGGAGGAAGCCCCAAGAAATCAGGAAGATGCCCCTTGAATATGTACGATGATGCAATCTTATGCATGCTTACTCTGCAATAAAATCAACGTTTTTTAGCGGGGCTAAAAGCGCACACAGGATCACAATCTCCCAAGTATGCATAGGCTTTCATCCTGATTTCTAATGGGGGTGCAATTCTCAAGTCATTTAAATGCCTCCACCCAACTCAAGGGGGGCAAATAAACCTGGTAGGCCCACGCCTCCTATTTCACACTTTAAAAGATTTCCATTTATCCTGCTTGTAGTTTTTAACTTGTTTCCAATGGGGGAATTCTGTTGAAGAAGCAGGCCCGAAAGGTGGCACTTTAAAGGGGGTTGCAGAGAAGCTGCCACCTTTTAACGTGCAAAGAAGGAAAGAGAGAGAAGGAGCGGCCACTTACTTTTCATATTCCGCGTTGTCCCTATCGCACCGTGAGTCCTTGTGCTTCTGCCAGTCTTTGCCGTGCTTGCAGGTGGTCAAGAGGACAACATCCTCCCCATTATGGACATGATATAAGGCATTCCTGGTGTCGGACCCTATCCCAGTCAGGTACCTTTTCCCCTTGAACACCAACATGTACTTCCTGAGAGGAGGGATGGTGTTAAACCTCAGGAAGCCCTTCTCCCCTCCTGTCCTCGGGTGATCCTTAGAAAAGAGCGGGATAGAGACGTCAAACTTCGGGCGGAAGTTTTCCGTGCTGATGCTGGCTTTGGCTAGCATGGCCTGGCCAATGTCGAAGCCCACGTCCTCGGTGTAGTCAGGCCACGTGCCGGAATATAAATTAAAAACTAAGTGGTTCCTACCATTGTTCCACAAGTGGAGGTTCTGGACCTTGGACCGCAGGTTGTGCACGTACTGGGGGGACAGCTGGTCCCTGTCTAAGGTATCCAGGCTGAGGACGAACAGGCAAGCTTGGCTGGGGTCGGAAGTATAAAACCGGGAGCCTTCGATGGCGGCGAGGATGTTTTGGTAACTCTCGGCGATCTTCTCCCCTTTCTGCTGAGGGTAGACGTACACCTTGAAGCCGTTCTTCTTGCAGAGGGCAAAGTCGAAGCAGGACTCCATCCGGCACTTCTTGCCCTTGTAGACGCTGGCGTTGGCGTCGCGCTTCTGCCGCGGGGAAGTGTGCATGTTGTACTCCTCGTTCTCCAGCTGTTCCCAAGGGACGAAGGGGCGCAGGGCGTCCGGGAATCGGGGCCAGTAGTGCTCGGGGCCGCCACTGTGCTGCAAGCCATTCCTGCTACTGTGAGCCTCCCGTCTGCTTTGGCTCCTGGATGCTCTGAACTGCAAGCCTCCCAAGTAGAACAGCAGGACGACGAAAGTGCCAGCGGAGAGCAGGATGAAGTAGCGTTTTTTGGCCTGCATGTGTCCTATCTGGGTCGAGAGGATTGTAAATAAACACAAAGATCGCCCAAGTTTGCCAGTCGACACTTTCAGCTTGAGTCCGCCATCTTCCCGCCTGCAAAGACTTTAAACTCTCTTCTCCCACCTCCTCTTTATTCCTTTCCCAAAGCCTCGGACTGATGCAGCGCATGTGGGCGATTTCTTTAACTTTCTCCCCTCCGGTCTTTCATCTTTGGCTCGCACAATAGAGATTGGGGAGGGGGGGAAGGGAGAGAGAGAAGGGAAAGGGAGAGAGAAGGGGGAAGACAGAGAGAAGGAGAAGGAGAAGGAGAGAGGGACTGAGAGAAGCAGGGGCAGGCAGAGAATAATCACGCCCAGCCCGGCTTTGGAGGGGAGGAAAGGAGGGAGCGTGGGGCTAGGAATTCTCTTGCAAGGAGGAGAGAGGGAGAAGGCACCCGCTCCGGGAAAATGAAACCACCCAGCCCAGGTCCCCCTTTTCGCCCTCAAATCGGCTGTTACAAGATTGAGAAATTTGTCCCGCCCTCTCGCTCTCTCTTCCTCTCTCTCACACACACATAGGGAGCCGGTGCTTGCGGATGATCAAGGTGCACGAGCCGCAGCAGCAACTTCAACTCACACACACAACATTCCTCGGATGTCTTTTCCTAACACACAAAATAGGAAGGGGAGCGCTGGGGGAGGGGGTGGAGAGAGAGGTGACAGACAGACGGACGGACGGACGGACACACACAAACACACCCCGAGCCGCCCGGCTTTCTCCGAGCAAGTCGGTATATCACCAGCAGCCTGTGCAAGCAGCCGGCTCCGGTTCGCGGCGTAGCACCATCCGAGGCTCACATCTTCCAGCCCGAGCGCCGTAACCTGACGAATCCCTGCATTTCTCTCGCCTTCTTTCCTTGCAGCGGCTCCGCGGGGAGGAGGAGAAGGGAGGAGAGGGAAGTCTCTCTTCCAGGCTGCTCTACGATCTCCCCCAACCAGAGAAAAGACCCGCCGCCGCCGCCTCTTCTGCTGCTGCTGATGTTTCTTCTTCTTCTCCTTCTTCTCCTCCTCCTTCCTTTGCCTTCGCGGCCGCCTCCTCCTCCTAGCCCCCGCCCCTCTCAACCATTCATTTCAGCGAGCGGCGATGGCACAGGAGCGCGCGCCCCCCCTCCGGGAGGGAAAGGGGCTGGCTGGCTGGGAGGGAGGGAGGCTGACCGCCGCCTCCCCCGCCTCTCCGAACGTTGCCGACCGCGGAGTTCCGACCGTCGAACGTTACCCGGTTCTGAATGTTACACTTGCAACATTCCATTCCCCGACACCACGGCGCTGACCTCATCCATCCACGCAGCCCGCTCGCCGATTGGCTGGGCGTCACGTCCGGAGGGGGAGGTGCTTCCGCTGCACCCATTCATAACCCCCCTCGAGCCGGAGGATACAGCTTTGCGGTAGATCCAATGGCCGTGGAAGCTTCTCTTCCTCCTTCCCACCCCCACCCCCCCTTCTATACCCACCCCTCTCGGAAGGTGCGTGCCCGGTGGCTTCCTTGCTTGGTGGGTGCGTGGGGTGATTTGCTCGAGGGGATACCAGCTGCAAGAGGAAACGGCCTGCCCTCCTGCCCCCCCTCCTCCAATCCTGCAATCAGAAAGAGACACTGATTTAAAGGGAAGACCCTAAGTGTGGATGGAGGGGTGGACACTTACGCACACCCATCCAAGTCTCTGGGAATTAGGCACCCACAACCCTCCACCCCCAAAAAACTCCACCCCGGCCCCAGTGCAGGCAGCAACAAGAACCGGTTGCCTAGGGCACCGCCAACGTGTTTAGCGATTGTTAAGGGTGGGAGTGCCCGGGAAGAGGGAAAGATGCGCTCCGGTTCGCCTTCGGGGCAGCGGAGATCCCAGCCGAGTCAGCAAGAGGAGGGGGAGGGAGAAGGGCGTAGCAGCTGGAAACAATTGCTGCGAGACGGCGGCGCTCCGGGGATGAGTTGCTGGCCCGCGTTTCCTTGCAGGTCGTGTCTCGTAGGGCCGCGCCGAAGCCTGCCATCAAACCCTCGGCGGCGCTTGCTCCCGAGCAAAACCGTGCACGGAACCGTTAAGTCAGCACCGGCAGCCCGATGCTACCTGTGTACAGCCACGGTGCAAGCCTGCTAAACGGGTCTACTCGGGAGTAAGCCCCCGTGTGCTCAGAGGGACTTGCTTCCTCCCAGCGAGGTGAGCGGTTGCCGCTGAAATCGCGCTGGGTGGCCAATGTGGTTTGCTCTCAGATTAAGCAGAAGGCCCAGGTAGCAATTTTAAGGGTAGCGATTTAGGAGTCGGACCCACACTGAGTTCGGAGGGTTTACTTCTGAGTAAGCATGCACAAGTTGGGGCTGCCGGAGCGCTTTCGGGGGACGGGGGTTAGTAAATCCCGCTTGCCCTCGTCTTTAAACTCCCTGCCACCAAATATTTCAATAGCACTGGTGCTTATTTAAAGAGACACCTCTTTCTCCCTCCTCCCCAAAACGCAATCGGGCTATCCAATCTGGGTTCTTTTGGAAAGATCAAGTAGCGAATCAACTGCAGTTTAGGGAGTCAGATCTGTCGAACCCAAGCGAACCTCTTCATGGCGGGGCGAGATAAAAAAAATAAAGGAAAAACTGGCTTTTGGAGGAGATTGAGGAAAAAGGAGCAAGTTCGCTCCTCGTTTCTTCGATAGGGAGACAAGTTTATACGTGCGCCCTCTACCGCGCGGACTCCCGTATCAGCATACATCCCAGCAAAGCTTGCGTAGCCTTTTGGCACATTGAGCTGCAAGGCAGTTTTGTCAAGCGATTGTGGGCTGGAGGGTTGTCTCCCGAAGCTCAAATTCGCCCGCGAGTATCAAATGAGCTCCGTCTAGGAAGTTCTAGAGACTTGCCAGAACTGCAAAGCAAAAGTGGAGACCTGATCCCATGCATGTTTACCCCGAAGGAACTGCCGCTGAATTCAGTTGGATTTGCTCCCAAGTGAATGAAATTTTAATGGACATAAAGTCCAAACTGAGACAAAAATGATACAATTCTGATGCATCAGGATAGGTGGATAATACATAGATTTATAAGCTGTCGCTACCCTCCAAAGGTGACTTCTGTACAATCACAGAACACAAACTTGTTAATAATATTAATTAATAATACATAGTGTGTGCAACATAAGCCATAAAACCAGCTATACATGCTCAGAACTGACTCACACCAGTGTAATAAAATCAATTTAGAACCACCTCAACCTTTTACAGGACCACCAGCCAGAAAGCTTCTGGAATTCAATATTGTGATCGCCATCCAATAGGTTAGAAGGCTTTTTGTATGAGGATCACACCAGCCTTGCAAACAAGCCAACAAAAGTTACTGAAATACTAGTTTTAGTTCAGTCCCACCGTTGACCAAATCAAATCTCAGAGGGGTTTATACATTCCAAGAAGCACAATACTTTGTAAAATACAGCAATAATTGTACTAGGCTGTTGGGGGCTGGCAGAGATGGGAAACAGCTGTGTTTGAAGGCCATGCTTTCAGTGTTCAATGGAATTAGCTAGCACATCACATGGCATCTAGGCATGTAGCAAAATTCATTGCTTCATACCAACCTTCTGCTGTGAGGTCAGCTTCTTAGAGTCTCTTCCAGATCCCACTGCTAACTTAGTTACTATCTGCTTAACCTAAGGAGAGGATCTTCTCAGTGGTGGCCCCATATTTACGGAACAGAATTCCTTCCCCAGAGACACCTGCCTGGCACCTGTGTTGCTATCATTTTGGTACTATGTAAATACATTTTTTTGTCCTCCCAGGGTTTCTCAGTTTTTGAATTTTAATTTTCTGGCCTTCACTACAATTGTGTTTAACTCTGTATTGATTTTATTGCTATTTTATTTGGGAAGAAACTGCCCTGCAGTCTGCCTGGGGGCAAAGTGCATTTTACAAATATGTATAAAATAAATCTAGTACAAACAGGCTGACAAGTAGAAACCTGGGCAAATTATATCCAAAGCCTCGCTTGGCTTAGTTTAACAGACCAATACATGTCTTACACGGAGTCCTATGTCGAAACGCAATTACCGGTAATATTTGTCCATATCTGATGTACAAATCCCTAATTTGTACGTCCATAAAATGCAAAAACCTTCTACCCTGCCATTTGGTTGACCAATAAACTGAACTGATAAGGAGTGTGTGGGGAAACAGAACCCGGGGGGAGAGGAAATGGTGTTTATTACCAGTATAAATTGACGCTGGAGGGCAGGTGTCTCAGCAGATGATCCTGCAATCTTGAACTCAAATTAAGTAATGGTTGTGTCAAGCCACATTCAAGGCACCTGCGTCCAAGGTCTCTACTTGGCGGACACGGGGAACAGAGAAGAAAAAGATGCAGCTGCCTTGAAACGTATAACAAGCTAGCTGGAAAACAGAGGAGTAGAGGTCATCCAAATTGCTTCACATACATCAGTCTGCAGAGTTGCCACTACCTCTGTTACCTGGCCCTGCTCTTCCACCTTTATCACAGCACCTCAGCATGAAGAAGTGATGTGTTTGCAGGCACAAGGATAACAGAATGTGTCACCTTCCAAATTTCTGTATGTCAGGGAAGGAAGCAAGGCCAGCAAAACACGGGGAACAGCTAGAGCATGGTCAAATCTCCACTTACTCCAAATGTGCTCCCATTGCTAGTTTTTGAAACCGCATTCACAGAGCGTGAGCCACAATCCATATCAGTCCTTTCGTTCCTTGACCAATAATGTGATGGGGTGCATTTTTCTTCTCCAACCATCTTCAATCCAACTAGAAAAATTAAGCTGCATTCATGTTATACTTAAGAATGGTGTGCACATTTGAGACAGCTGTCGCACATGCATGTCCTCAGTGGCGCAGAGTGCCTTCCATCAGCTTCGGCTGGTGGCCCAGCTGTGCCCCTTGTCTGGACAGGGGCAGCCGAACTTCTGTTGCCTATGTGCTGGTAACCTCAAGGTTAGATTACTGCAATGTGTTGTTACATGTGGGGCTGCCTCTGAAGACTGCTCAGAAACTTCAGCTGGTGCTAGGTTGCTTGCCAGGGCAAGAAGGTGTGAGCATATACTGCCAACCCTGGCCTGGCTGCACTGGCTGCCAATTAGTTTCTGGGCGCAACTCAAAAGTGCTGGTTTTGAACTATAAAGCCTTAAATAGCTCAGGACCGCAGTACCTCAAAGAGCACCTCCCACCATAGGAACCAACCTGTGCTCATCATCTAAGGCCCTTCTTCATGTGCCCTATCCACGTGCCCTGTCCAGAAGGTGACAACATGAGAAAAGACCTTTTCTGTGGTGGCTCCCTGTTTGCAGAATGTTTTGCCCAGGGAGGCTTGCTTGGCTTCTTCACTACATATTTTAGCTGTCGGGCACCAATGTTTCTCTATTACCAGGCCTTGGGCTGGTTAAACATTTTATGACCTTCTAAATGTTCTTGTGAGGGGAGGGTTACTTTGTTTGTTCGGTGTTTTCAATTTGTATTTTTATGTTGTGAACCGCCTTGCCATCTTCTGATGAAGGGCCATATACAAATTTAATAAATAATTAAATAATTAATAAATAATAAACGTGAACAACACTCTGGAAATGCAACCTGGAACTCAGCAGTGTGCAGTGGGTGGGAGTGAGGTCACCTCTCTGCCATTTAAGCCACTAATGTGAACACACAGTTGTACAGATCTGTGAAATTCAAAGCCATTATACAGCCATATATGCCTTTAAATCTCTCTGTGTGGCAGGCAGATAACTCAGCCACAACTTCTCCTACCCATTCCTTCCCAGGCCCATTTTGTTTGCTAGACGCCAATCCCCGACCCTGCCCTTCAACAAATCACTTTCAATTGCCATCGAAATCCCCTGAATATATATCTTCATCCAGCTCTCGTAACATCAGCAGTGAGAGTCAGAAATCTAAACAACGGTCTGTTGCCTCATTACCAGGAACAAATGGAATGTGGTGCTCGAAGACCCAGGCGCAAAGATTCTTTGTGTGCAACCTTACCTTTACTAGCTATCCAAATCAGTCTGTACACATCTTTAAAGGATATTCAACTCACGTTCTGTTCCTTAGGAGAATTCTGGGAACTGTAGTTTCCCCCTCACGGAGTTACTATTCCCAGTGACCCTTAACAGACTACAGTGCCCAGAATTCTTTGAGGGGGAAATGTGTTTCCAAGGTGTTTCCGCAGTATATTGCGTATGCAGCCTCAGTTTATCTGTAGTTGTTAACCTGCAAGATCCACACCCCAAATCCAATAGCCAACTATCA